CTTTAATTTTTCAAATATTTCTTTTTTCTTTCCGTTTTATTATTTACCTTTCACTTTCTGTATTCGGAGAGCCAAATTAACTTTCCGAACCAAACAAAATCGAAATCACATGAAATTTTGAACTTGGTCCAAGACTAACTTGAATATTTATATAGACACTACAAATATTACTATCACACAATTTCAGTTGGGAAAGAGAAGAAATAGACAACAAAGATTGATAACACTGTCTTACTTCAAAATGCAAGATTCGTGAAATTATAAGTTCTTTCATATTTTCTTATACACTATTTAGTAAGTCCTTTTTTTTTGGGTAATTAAGCATAAGAAGTCATTTTGACAACAATATAAAATATCTCTTCTAAGATATTGGAAATAATAAGTAGATCTCTCTCAACTAAATTACTATATATGAAAGAGTTGATCAGATTTAAACCTCTAATCATGTGTTTAAATGACGAGATTTGCTATTGCTCAAGCTAACTTTAGTTAGTTAGTAAGCCCAATTCTTTTTTCATTTAATTTCATCACTTGCTATTCTAAAAAGCTTGGGATTATTACCACTTCCTACTCAAACTAATATGAATTCTTACTGTATGAAACTATTATTACTAACAACGGCCTTATGAGTACCTCAGAGATGCTAAAAGCCTAATTCTATATTATTGGAAACTTCCCACCTTAGCTTAATTTTATTTTCCACCATAATTATTTAACAATATCCATGTTAATTATTTTATAAATTTTGCAAAATGACTTATAAATAAAAATATAAAAAGTTTAACTGAGAGTCTTATACATAGAAACTAATAGAGTAGTATTATTTACCATTTACACTTACAATTGTATATTTCAAGAGCCAAATTAAACATATTCAAAAATAAACAAGATCACATGAATCTTGAACTGAGTCCAAGACTCCTCATTTGAATATTTTTAATTAATTATATATATGAATGAGATCGAGCATCATAACTTACAGCTGTGAAAAAGTGATACATATGTATATAAAATCGTAAAGAATAAGGTTGAAAAAGGAAGATGAAGCTGGCATACCTGTTGATTTCGTTTTCAACCCTAAAATTCTATTGGTGGCCAAATTATGACAGCCAGAGATTCTCTCAAAGACGTCGACCATTCGTAGATCAATCAAACAAGGCGTCTTTGGCTACATAGCCTTGTACGAATCAGCCTGCATGTATCATCTCATTTGATATATATATATATATATATATGAATAATTAAATTAAATATAAATAAGGCACATGAGAGTACTGGATGGTTTATATATATATATATAGGACTTTGAAAATAGTGTGCGACTTTGGAAATCCACAGAATCAAACAAAGAGAAAAAGATGGGGTTCGGCAGAGAGAGAGAGAAAAAAGAGAGAGATTTCCATCAAGTAGGTTAAACGATAGCAGCAAGAGCCATGAATGATATACACACACACACACTGGCCACAACTAAATTAGGTTACATCAATTCAATGTCATATAGATTCACGTATTCCCAGTTTTTTCCACATAAATCTAAGAGCTTTTTATTCATTTATATTATACAATTCCCTCTTATTTTCTATTTAGTTTTTTTAAATGTCCTGGGCTTTTTCAAATTATTTTACTCTTTGCATAGAAGGGTATGTATGTTTATTTTCTATACGTCAATCTAACTGAATTACATCTGGGTATTGTTAGGTTGATTTACGAATAATTCTTTTGAAAATTTTTTATCATGTTTAAGCAATTGTAACCCGTTACTTCAACAACAAGAAGATTATATAAGTAAAAAAAAATTATTGGTCAATTATTTAAAATTAAAAGGACAATTTTTCCAAAAAAAAATTGTAGTTAACGGACACAACCACCTTCTTGTTTTAAAAAAAATATATACAAGCCTTTTTAGAATAAAAACTTACTAAAATTGTATTTTAAAAATGGGAGTGATGCTTCCGCTTTACCATTGTTTCTTAAATTTTAAAACAGGCTGTTTTACATTGACAATGTATAGTTACAGCTTGAATTATAAACATAAAGATGATTTTATAAATGTTGTATAATTTTTTTATGGGAAAAGGAGATTACTTTACTTGAATTAGAAATATATAAAAGAGGATATATGAAAAATATATCAATAAAATATTAGAGTGGAGTAGCTTGCAAATGCTTAAAATAAACCAAATTTCTAACATCTATAGTTAATTTTGTGTATTGCTTAGCTCAAATTCAATAAAAAATATTTAAATAACTATAAAGATTGTTGGTTAAAAAACTATAAAGATTATTACACTTTGGCAAGCAAGATATGCATCTATCAAGGGCACAGATTTGATCATAAGGAGTAATTAAAAAAAATATAAAATTTATGAGGAGTTATGCTATTACAAGCCACATTGAAATTAAGTTTAAATATAAAAAATAAATTTGACCATCAAATTAAACAACTTTTAAACTTATTATAGGGGACGATATATCTAGTCCCGTTCAATAAAATTGATTCTGTCTTTAAAGTTAATTAGCGGGTAAAAGAAGAAGAATTGAAATATCAATCAAAATTAGAAACAAATTTAAAAAGGCACGTTACACTCCTCACCACATATTTAGTCAATAAAAGCAAAAAAAACAAGGGGCCAAACATATTTTTCTTTTTGTTAGAAATAAAGCAAAATCTTGCTTTCTGCACCATACGTTGCCACACACACATATATAATAATAATATTATTATTAAATAATAATAATTGGTTTTGCTTTTTTGCTTTTGCAACTTTGATTGTTGTTCCTCCTGTCACCACTAGTTATTTAGGCTCATAGGTCTAACATGGTTGAGATTTTATTTTAATTTTTAAATAATAATAATAATAATTTTGTTCTGTTTTATTTTTATACTTCCATGATTTTCCCCGTATTCTAAGCAGATTGATATGATTGCGCTCATGGGGTTGAATGTTCTACTTTTGCAGAACAAAAGTCAGTCAAAGTTATTATTTGTCAAAAATTGTGGAATGTGTGTAATCTTTTTAAAACTATTTATTTAACTACATGATTTGAAATGAAATCATTATGCGAACTGACTTTTTTCTATGCTTTTTATATATTTCCAATTTTATATATTTAATATTATTAATTAATGCTTGGAAGAAAATAATTATTTGGTACCCAACACATAAAAAGTTTAAGTGAAATGTACTCAGTTCCTTTGAATAAAGCAGCTGAAAAATTCAACGAGGACAAATTTCATAATCAATTTGCACATCACACATCAAAAAGCCCATCCTGTCTCTCCCGTCAATTCATCCATCTTTTCTTTTTCTCACTTTTTCTCCACTTAAATTAAATTATGACCACAATTATTTTCCGGTGCTCAGATTTATCTGTTCAGACTCATTATTTCATTTGTTAAAAAAAAAAAAAAACTCTCAGAGTTCAGACTAAGTAAAATCAGTTAATGTATATCAAGATTTGAAAGATGAGCAGTTCAACCACCTTTTTTTTCCCCAAGGTTAAATGATCTAAGCCCGAACAACTTCACTTCTTAAGACATTTTTTTGTAAAATTATACTCTATTTGATATAAAATATAAATATTTACTTTTAATTAATTTTTGTTCAAAATATAAATAACTTAATATATGTAAAAAAAATTTCTCCATTTCACTCCATGTATTTATTAACTTAGATATTTGTGTACATGCATCTCTCATTCATTGTGAAGTGTATTGGTAATTAGGATTAGAAATAAGAGGAAAAAGCAATATATAATTTTATGGGAATATGGATTTTACTAGTGTGTGATTTTTTTTAAAATGCTTATATATTGGACATAAGAGAGTAAATACTAATAAAATTCATTAAAAATAATTTATAATCTTAATTTTTTACAAATTTTCAAGAATAAGAGAGAGGGGGAAAGGAAATTTATTTAGAAAGTGAAATATAACAAGGGACAATATTAAACTAATGATCATCAATGAATTTTTTTTTCAAAACGGGTTATATTTTAGAACAATAAATCACTGTCAAAAATTCCTTACAAAATGGGACCGATGAAGTATTAAAAATTAAATCAATTTGACCGGTTGAATTTGTGAATCATTGAACTAGTATCTTAATCAATTCAATAAAATATTTTATTTATGATTAATTCAACAACAGTTCTACTATAATTTTGATTATTTAAACAAGTACTTTAACTTGTTTAATATGGCCGTCTCAATTTTTAGTATCTCTTATTACGATTATAGCTAATTAATAGCTATGTAGCTATGTAAGTATGGGCTATATATCCGAATGGACAGAAATGGAAGAAGGCAATGGAATTGGGTGAGCAGTGGGTAAGTGATTATTCTAAAATCTAAACAGAGAAAGAATGGTGCGAAGCTGCGTCCCTGAGACACAGTAGGAGAATAATCATCAGTTGGTAATAAAATATGATTACGTGAAAAGAATTAAAAGAAGAGAGATATATTATTGTATGGAAATATTTTCTTTTTCTTGCTTTATTTCTCTCTCTCTCTCTCTTCTTATCTTTTCTCCTTTTAGCTTTTTTTTTTTTTAATATAAAGAAAGTTGATAGGGGTGAGGAGGAATCCATATGTGTTCCAAGCACTTCCAGACAAAAATGAAGTTCAGAGAATAGAAAAGCACACTTACCTTTGCGACCCAGAAAAGGAGATTTCAAACGCACAACACACCATGAGAGCCTTAGCTTAGGAAATTGCGTGGTTAGTAGTCCAACCACAACTTTAATTAATTAATTAATTACCTAAATATGATTATTCATTAATGTTAAAGTTTTTATATTATACACAGAAATATATATAAAATATTATATAAAAACAAGGTACTAACAAAATTAAATTCGTTGAATCAGTCAATAGTAATTTATAGAAAAATGAATAAAACTCGAGTTAAGAAATTGATTGTACTGTATGGCGTATCTCTTTCCTGTGTGTTTCTCTATATTTAGAGAGGTTGGGTGCAACTGGAACCCCACATGTTATGTTGCTCCGATTTGCGAGTGAAAGGGAAGAGAGTGAGGTATTAGAGAGAGTCTTAAGGATCCTCTTTTCTACGTTTATACATGTTGTAGTTTACTGGGTTTGCTCGTTTAATTTTATTGGAATTTATGAGTGAGTAGGGTTTTGTTTTTGTGGGGCTTTTTTGATGATGATGATGACCTACCTAGCTATGGCTTCCCCAATCTCTCTCAGATCTCTCTTGCTCCCCCACCTCATCATCCATATATACCTCTTCTCCGATTCTGCCCCTTCACTCTTCCCTCTCCACCATCTCTCTCTCTCTCTCTCTCTCTCTCTCTCTCTCTCTCTCTTAGATCTCTCTAACTTCTCCTTCTCCTTCTCCATCTTCTTCTGATCTTCTTGGGTGATCTGATGATGATGAAGGTGGTAGAGAGAGATATGTATATGTTAGTTAACATGTAGCTATAGGTTTCTTTCATGGTCTTCGTCAAACTCCTCCTCCTACCTCATCAGCACCCATCGTGTTATTCTTGATTCTTATTTTCTCCGAGAGATTATTCTTATTTCTCTGCAACAAAACAACATGAACTTGCATCTCATAAGGTTATTATGCTGTTCTTTTAGCAGCACCCTGTAATTAACATGTCCCAGCCGTAGCTTTCATTTCGTCTTCTGTCGCATTCCTTCTTCATCGAGAGGAAGATTAGGCAGCTTTAATTTCGTGTTGGCGCAAGATAATTAGATTACACAAACACAGACACAGAGAAAAGACACACACATATGCATGTGAGATTATGAGTATGTGCCTGGCTCCCTGTATGCCATTTGCAGAGCCCACCGGAGAATCGATGGCCTCCGTGGATGGCGTATGAGGAGCCAAGCATATTCCATGTACATACATGGATAAGATAATATATAATATAAAGATCGAATTTCCATATTTAGTTGTATTGGTGTTTGTTTCTGTTATTTTTCATTATGATTTTATTAATTAATCATATGTTGAGAGATTCTAATTAATACTAATTACTATGGAGGTCATAAGGGTAATATACACATATATAGGGTTAGGTCTTGTTATAATTCCAACCACAAAGCAAGCACGGCATTGTCATTTTCAAAGTCACAGCGATCTGCTTCCTCAGGACTGAGCATAAAGGTACATGTTTATCTCTTCTTTCTCTTCGTTTTCAAAAAAACCCATCGTTTTTTAGGGTTTTTTCTTAATGGGCTTAAATTTGTTGGAGAAGAAGATGATGAATTGAAGCTGCATAAATACTACCTAGCTAGTATCAGACATCAGCATGTAACTTGCAGATAAGAACATCAACTTGTGGGGAATATATATATGTATATATATATCTCATTCCCATCTTACTATTTGCTTATTCCATGAGATAATAATCATTTGGCTACTCTTGAAACGAGGAATGTCATGGGAAAACCCACAAGAATTAGCTTGAAATATTTGTGCCTGACAATTATATGTATATACATCATGGAAGTTACAAAATTAATTAATTAAATTTAATTTCTTACTGCACATTTTCATGTCGCGACCATTCGTGTGTCTCTTGAAACTCTGAAGTGATAACAACGTCACTTTTCTAAGGGGCAACTAAATGATAGATCGAAAGAGGAATTTTAATGATTTTTTTAATCCTTTTCGATTATTCGTATAATGACTTTTGCAAATGTGAAACGTTTTGTGGTTATTTCTCTTGGCCATATATACATGTGTAATGAAAAGCTATCATTTTAATGCCATTTTGGCGCGAATAATAATTATTCTATATGGGTTAATCAGTCATCTAACCGATCTCAGTTTTATTATTTTGAAATAGAACTTTCATTTGATCTTTCCTATTAATCATTTAATCTGTGCTCGCTCTCAGAAATCGGTGGCCACTTTATCTCCTGGGCTACATACACGACTACATAATACTATGGATTATGGATTGTAAGTATAATTAAGTTGTTTAATCCAGATTCCTTTAGGAAACTTGAATGTACGTGATATATTTACTACACTGAAACATGTTTTCTGGGTGCATGTCTTCGTGTCCGATTGTTAACAATGTATGTGTTAATTAAGGAAAACCTATAAATCAGAGAGAAACAAATTAAGTGTTAAGCATCAATACGTGTATATGTTACTCGTGAGTAAGAGAATCCCACTTTACAACACTCTGCTATCTCTTTCGATAGACTTCAATTTAGAAATGGGTTCATGAAATCCTGAAAACTATATTAACAGTACTTATATATATATATATATATATATATACTTCCTCCTTTAAAGAAATAAAGTATTTTTAACTGAATTTTATGAGTAGTTACTCACTTTTTAATTATTTCTATTTTTTTATATTTATTTTTATTAAACACTCTATAATAAATATAAATTTATTATCAATTTAGGCGCTTTAAAAAAAAGTAATGATTACATCTTAAAAAATTAAAAATATTTTTTATTTTTTAATATTTAACTTTTTAAAAATATTTAAACAGATAGAGTATATATATATATATATATATATCTCCATGTGTGGCTCATGAGGGAAGTAATTCATAGGGTAGAAGTTAAATTAAACGGAATGTAGATGATCATATATTTATGAGAAGAGATCGAAATAGGAGTAGGAAAAGTACCAGAAAAGAAATCACAAGAGATATATGAATCTGTTGCTGCTTCCCAGATTGGCACATTGTAATGATATGTTCTCATAACTGGTATGAAAATGAACCAAGGAAGGACCAGCTTCACGACCAGACCCAGAGAGAGAGAGAGAGAGAGGGACCGTAACAAGCTTAGGCTTATCTGGGAAGTGTAGAGTAGGGCATGGTCCTATAACTACAAGCACGTTGTACGTAGTATAAGCTATGCAACGTAGTATAGCAGTAGTATAGCTAGCTAGCTCTTCTTTGCTCATCATCCGCATTATTATATATCATCATCGCATAAGTTCCATTCTAATACCTTGCTCAAAATAATAAAAAGTTCCATTCTAATACCAACAAGTTATTCAGAGTTCAAACATCAAGATCAATGCTAGTATTATCTAAAGTGAGCTTAGCGGGTTTCAATATCTCATATCTTTGATTCATATTAATTGGATTAGCAGTTTGAGTATCTCTTTAAGGGTAGTCTTCCCATAAAAAATTAATTGCTACAGTATATTCCGGACTCAAATTCAAAATCTAATCAATTGTTTAGCATACCAGTTGATTCAAGTCTCCGGTGATCAAGATCATATATCATACATATTGTATAGAGAGAGAAGGATTGATGAAACTTTTAAGAGATGGAGGAGTCTGAAAAAGAAGATGTCAGGAACAGGAATACTAGTGAATAGTGAGAGGATGTGTTGAGTGTGCGCGTGTGTGTGATTATGGGAAAAGGAAAGGGGCATACTCGTAGCAGTGAAGGAGAAGGGAAAGAAGAGTTTGGGAGCATTCATCATTATAGCTAATGGGGAATCTCTCTCTCTCTCTCTCTCTCTCTCTCTCTCACAACAACACGAGAGAGGGGGAGAGAGCAAAGGGAAGGTGGACCACTCTATGAGTTTGTCTCTATAGAGAGCTAGCTAGCTTTCGATGGGGTTGCAGGGAATATGGTATACGGTCAAAGCAGGTCAAAAGAATACAAAAGGACATTATTAGTCAGGTCACTACGGGGACCACAACCTAAGATCTCATCAGCTCTTTCTCTCCCACCATTACCAGAAAAAAATAAAAATGAAGGAGAAAATTACGTCCTTCTTAACCTCTTTCTCTCTGGTTATCATTCTTCTGAGTTGTTTCTGAAACACAACACACTTTATATAAGTTTTCAAGTCTTGTTTTATAATATAGGAGTACTTCTGCGGTGCTAAAAAGTTATGGCCTGATAGCTACAACTGACTTTTGTTTTTGTTTTGTTTCCCTGTGAGACGTGAGTGGTGCTATGCTAGTTTAGCCGACCAAGTCCAAGACACTGTTAATGCTCAATTAATGAACAAAGATTTGGGACAACATACTTTTATAATAAATGAAACCTCAACCTTTCATAAATGGGATTGGATCTGGAAGAAGAAATTAATATCTCACAGTATGATAAATCAGAGTGCGAATCCTTGTTAAAAGACTAAGTATTCATATTTAATATTCAATATACTCACTTTATTTTTATATATAAAACATTTTTTTAAATTTTTTTTTATTTTTAAATATAGAATATTTTTAGTATATCTTTTAATGAACGGACCATTATATCTCATTAAATTAAAAAAATATAAGTATTTTCATTAATTTATTTTAAAAAAATATTTATTTTTATTTACAATAATTAAGGTAAAATTGAAATATCACTATACTTTTAATTAGATAACTAATTTTTATTAGTTTGTATAATTTAGTTAAAAACATTTTATGTATGGGAATGGAAAAGGTACCTCCAAAAGGATTATTTTCAATAAAAAAATATTTTATTGTTTTATTCGTTTTAAATTATAAGATACTTTTCAAAAAGATTCAACGTCTCAAAGTATAAGACATTTTGATCAAAAAAAATTTTATTAATGATACTTTTTTAATATTATTCTTTTTCATATATTCTCTCTCTTCAATCTTCTTTTATTAATTGAGTATTAAATGAACAGTATTTTTAAAATTTTATATTTTTTATTTGAAAAGTAAGGTTGTAAAGTACAATTAATGAGTTTTATTAATATATAAGATTTTATCTAAAAGTATTTTATAATTTAAAACAGAGGGAGTACTTGTAAAAAAAAATCCACCACTCATTGCATACATGTTCCTCCTGTTGGTTTAGGGGTTTTAAAAGTTATTATTTCTAACATATCTAATCAAAATTTAAAAAAATAAAATTCATTAATTTTAAAAAAAATTAATAAATTTTTAACTTTACTCATATTTAATATACATATTTTAATATTGTAATGTTTCTTTCCTAAATTTAAGGAGAGGTAGAAGAATAAACATGTGATAAAAAATCAACAACTTATCTTGTAAATAGGATGAACAATTCTTCTATTTTTACTTCTATCTTATAAATATAATTAGAGAAAGTATTATTAGTTACTTAAAAAACTTTTTTATTAATTTCTTGGATAAATTTCTCCTTGGTAAACACAAAAATGTTGTCTAATTAATTTTTCTTGTCCATCATAACTTTTTTATTAGCTTTTTCTCCTGAATTAACTCTAACATTATTTCTTCAAGTAAGTTGAAATAATAAAAACGAGCTATAATTTTTTTACAAAAAATTCATTATTGCACATTTGTCAGTATGATTATCACTACAAGTACTGAACAAAAAACGCTATTTTACCATTTTCATATGCATATTTTAGTATAAAATCCTTATTTGTCATTATTTAGGAAGCCAGGTTGGCTGTATTTAGATTAAAATAGACAAATTTATTAAGATTCTAATTTGGGATGAGATGATGAGAAATGGGTTATGCATTCCTACACAAGATTGATCAGCTCTGGTAGACTTATGGCCAACTTTTGAAATTGAGAAAAACTAAATAAACCAACTCCATCCACATATATACATATATTAAATGAAGTTGCTAGAAAGATTATGAATAAACCAAAACTTTAAGTTGCTAGCCTTTGTGAAATATGCTTGCATGAACAAAATTTGAAAAAAAAAAAATCTCTTGAAAGACCTAGAGACAGCTCTTGCCAGGGTTTGGAAAATGAAGTGAAGAAACAAACATTCTGGAGAAGAAGAAGAAGAAGAAGAAGAAGATGATGATGATGATGATGATGATGATGCAACAAGTTATATAGAAGAGTGTAGAGAAAGGTAAAGTGAAAGAGAAGTAGTAAATAGTGGTCATATGATGTAAGTGCTCTCAGAATTTGCTAGGCCCAGCTTGTTTGTACTCTCTCTTCAATCTCTCTGTGAAAAGTAGATTCTGTACTATTCCTCTCCCCCCACCCGAAAAAAAAAAATATATTCTTTTATATATATATGTACATGTATATATGTCTCGTATATATGCTAGCTTCTCTTTGTTGCATATAATTCTCATGTCCTGATCTTTTCAATCTTTCTGGTTCTTTCTTTCCATTCTGGTGAAACCCTTAAAATCTCTGTGAATATATACATGTGAGAATAAGTTGATCACATCACATTTTTCAGTTTACATGTATTTGTTGTACATGTTGTGTGGGTGATGTTCAGGTCACTCAAAATTGTCCAATTCACTTTTGAGATTCTGGCATTCTGCAGTACTGGGAATTTAACTTTGTTGTATGTTCTCATGTCTCCAATAGTATAGTTTAGGGCCGTCCGACACTAAGAAATTAATGAATGGCCTTAGGACTCAAAAAAAAAAAAAGTTCAATTACACCTCCTATAACCAGTTATTATTTTACCTGTCAAGAAATAATGTTAATTATATATTTTTATCTAGAATTTATTGTTTGCATATGTTATATACAATCAATCATTAAAAAAGTGATATTGAGATAGATAAATAATACTTCATCCAGTCTATATTATGAGACACTTTTAACTACTTTAATGAAATCAAAAAATAACAGTTAACTTATTTAGTATATCTTAAAACGAAACAGTTTTCAACTTTACTTTTATTAAAAATAAGAAGAGAATGTAAAAGAATCCTTCTATTATCTTTACTCCTATTAACTCATGTATGCTATATTAAAAATTAAAGAATCCTTTTAGAGTGTGTCCTATAATAAGGTTGGGAGGGAGTAATATATCATGCCTCTTAAATAATTTTGTCTTAAGCCCTAAAACTTTGTCGCATGGCCCTATTGCATGTAGTTATTTGTATATATAGTATCACGGTATGATACTTCTTTTAATTTTATTTGTAAGACAAAGAGATAATAATTTTTTTAAATTCTATCTAAGGCTTGTCTTTGACTTTAATTTTCATCATAAGTTTCCTCTTCCACTCTCAATAAGTGTTGGTAAAAGAAAGTGTATATAATTAATAAGGAAAAATTTAAAAATTTATTAAATTTTTATATCAAATTAATGAATTTTAAGATTTTTTTGGTTCCTTGAATTAGTAATTTAAGACTGGTGCATAGTAATTAAAAAATAGTTCAGTAATTTTTCAATATTAATATATTACTGTTCATTTGAATTAAT